AGGTTTGGGGGGCATCACTCCCCACACCCCTCCCTTTCTGCCCCCTCCCAAAGAAGACACCTCAAAGTTAAAAAGGGGTGGTTCTCTTTTTTAAAAGCGGGAGGGAGGCGTTAATGAGCTTGGAAACGCACGTTGCTTTGTTTGGACTACAACGCCCACAATCCCCGGGGGAGTTCGTGGCGGGGCAGGGGATTCTGGGCGTTGTAGTTTCTCCAGCCTACCTCTCTGTCTTACCTGTAGGCACACATATACCCACGTGCTTTCACATACGTGCACACCCACACATATATGCATGCATATGGATATACACACACATGCACAGACACATACTATGTATGTATGTATGTATGTATGTATATATACACAGTCTATACACACAAACGTACATACATACATGCACATATGTAGACACACACAGCTTATATAGGGTTGCAGTTCCGAAAAACAAAACAAGTTTGTAAAAGGGTTTGATTGGTAAATAGGTGTTTTTTGTTGCCTCCCACCCAGTTCCTGGCCAAAGACGGCTGCCAGCGTTCCTATTTTGAGAGACAAAATTTCTCAGGACGGCGGTGAGGGACTTGCAGTCCTTGTCGTTCGGCCTTTGGTTTGTAGCCGATTCCCAGCCTGGCCTGCCTTGCAGGGCTGAAGGTGGCCTTCTGCCCCGGAGTTACCGCAGGGTAGGGACATTATATTTAGAAGCACCGAAGAAGAAGAGGGCGTAGCCATTGAATCGTATACAGGTGGAGGCGGAATGGAGTATCCTTTCTGTTGCCACAAGAAGAAATAAGCCAGGACTTACGTTTGCAAGCAGCACAGAAAACGGAATGCAGCCGGCCTCTGCGGTCTGAACACAAGGACACTTAGTGGAGATTGGTGACCACTTAATATGCTTTTGAGCTCTCTTGTTGCCTTTGGAATAAGAAGGGCATAAGGAATTGGTTTCTTCCTTCTTTCTTCTTCTTCTTTTCAGAACACTGTCTGATATGCTTTTGAGCTCTCTTGTTGCCTTTGTAATAAGAAGGGCATAACCAATTGGTTTCTTCCTTCTTCTTTTTTCAAAACACTGTCTCCCGTCTTAACCAGCAAAACTGCATACCTGGGTATGTCTCAGCAGCCACTGGCCAGCGAATAACCCTCCCTTGGCCACATCTGCCTGGGTATGTCTCAGCAGCCACTGGCCAGTGAATAACCCTCCCTTGGCCACGTCTCTCTCTCTCTCTCACTCACACACACACACTCTCACACACACACTCACACACACACAATCCCACATTGTGTTTGGGGTATATTTATTTCAACACACACACACAGACACACACACACATTGTGTTTGGGGTATATTTATTTATTTCCGTTCTGTGTTTTGAAGCAAGGCTTAAATAGGAAAAGGAGGTGAATATTTAGATATGCAGAGAGAGAGAGAGAGAGACTTTGAGATTATTGCTTGTTTGATTAATATTTATGGCTGGGCATGTTCTTAGGATCCAAGGAGCGGATTGCCCTGTCAGTGCAGAAGGAAAAGAGAATGATTTTTCTGGATTCAGCAGGGTTCTGTATTTCAGTACGTTGCCGTGCAGTTGTATATACACACCCACAATGCTTTATATGTGTTGACTGAGAAGCAAATGACATCATACTTATTAAGATGGAACTCCTGAGTATATTTAAGGTTGATACCTTGTTTAGGAGTTCTGGGGGTGCTAATGGCCCCAGAGCTGTCTCACTGAAGTCGTTCTGAGGGCACAGTGACCATAGTTTTCGAGCATGAACATATTAATTAGCAAACTTCCTTTGATATCCGTATCCCTGGTTGCCTTATCATTTTCTGTCTCTGTGTTTCGTGATATCTCAAAAAACAACAACAACCAACCAACAAAAAAAAACCTTGCTGAAAAAGCAAACAGGTCATAAAATAAGGCTGTGATTCAGAGTTCCCTTTTCTATATAGCATTTAGTTTGGACTCTGCCCTTTTGGCTTAGGTAATCTTTGTTTGCCTTCATCTTAGTGGCAGGGGTTTGTTGAACGACATCACCTTTATGGAGTCCTTTGAGATCTGGACAAAATACATTGCTCTGTAAGCATTGCTTTTCTTAGACCGGCATTTTAAATGAGCAGCCATCCTTTTGTGTCATAAATAGAGTATGCAGCTGAAAAAGTATCCTTCCTTTGAAAACAGCCCGCTGAGAAAACAAAGAGGACACATGAACAATGAGGGTGAAAGAGGGAGGAAAAATGTATAGACAAGGAAGAACAAGTGGTTTTCCCCCCATTCGTTTGAGTAGGTAGAGAGAGAAAAATCAGGTGCTTCCAAACCCTATGTTGTCAATAGGTAACACATACAGATAGGTCATCTGGCCTGCTCTTCTCTTGAGCTTTTGAAGTTGCTGTTAATTTTTGGCCACCCGGCCAAAGTCTGGTTCTGTAATTTGTAGTCCAGAGGTGAGAGGCATAGATGTAAGATTCTACCTTTTCAGCCAATGAGAGTAAGAATCGGAACCGTTGTAGAGAATTAAAAGAGAACGGTGGGTGATCTCATCCCCATCTTCTTAGAACTGCAGAGTTGGAAGGGACTCTAGAGGTCATCAAGTCCAGCCCCTGGTCAAGGAGGCATAGAGGGGAATCAGACTCCCAACCACTGGCTCCACAGCCAGATAACTGAACCACTGCGGTCTCCATCAGTATCACTCCCAACCACTGGCTCCGCAGCCAGATAACTGAACCACTGCGTTCTCCATCAGTATCTTCATTTAGGCATCCTTCAGTCTCAAGAGACGAGGGTCACGTGCTCTGTATGGAGGGCTTGGAACAGCTTCTAGTGTGGCTGAGAAGGCCAATTCGAGAGTGACCGTCCCTTCCACACTGTAGGTAAATACAATACTGTCCCCTGTCCAGCTCCCTGG